AGACAGAGCTTCCAAGTTTTGGAATCTCAAATTTGAAGTTAAACATGGCAAAAGGTTTAGATTGAAAGCAGCAGAATGGTTTTAATTTAAGGACCACAACAGTTCATATTCATGGACCAGTTTATGTAAATAATGCACTGGCAGAAGATGAGCAAGCTCCTTTCTAGAGAAAGCACAGTGATACAACTGAAGATCATCAGAGTTACGGCGTGGCAGTACCCAGCAGTACTTTACTCACCACGGCAATTTTAATAAAGCTACCCTCCATCCCATAATTTACACTGCTCTTCTATCTCAGAGCTGCTTTTGAGACAATTACTGTTGAGCTTTACACTTTATTTATGGAAATAAACTTGAAAGGCAAGTTTGAACCTGCAACAATGCCAGGGCACTCCAACCACAGCTCTCAGTGGTCGATAACCAACTGGACAAAGCACAAAATTAATTTATGTTGTTTTGAAACTTTTAATTAACTCTGGCCAAGCAGGTTCTTACAAGTAAGTCAAATAATTAAGGCTAATTTAAGAGACACTTCAGTAAAAAGCACAAAATGAACCTGAAGAACCAAATACAGCACACAACACCAAGCTTGGCAGTAGGAACTGCAAGTTATGGAAACTCAGATCTGTAACATATAAACTGTAAGGCTGAGTCCATAAGTAGCTGTAAGAGTTACTTTCTACTAGTTTTGTTCTTTTATACTACTTAAAATGCTAACAGGTATCCAGAGTAGCAACTGAAGCTGAGTGGTCAAGAACCAGCTGATACACATCAAGAACTCACCTACTGCTGCTAACACAAAATCCTGAATTAAGCTCAATTTTCAATCTGAGAAAACACATCACCACAAGAGGTGACAAAGATGTCAAGTGCTTTACAGTATCTCTAACAGTGAGCAGGCTTAGTATCTGCAACAATAAAACACTCCTTAAAGTTGCATTACATTCCTGAGTACAAAGCAATGCCAAATACTAACAATAGCTGAGGGTTGGCCTTGACCTACATTTATCAATTATAAAAACACTTTTCTTACATATCTGTATATACTTAAAATCCTTCATGCTCTTCATATTTCCAAATATCACCTCTGTATGTTGAAGTCACTGAGAACATGAAGTGCTTCTAATGGACACTTGAGCCTTACTTACAAAAACACAGATTGAAACTAGAAACTGCACTGAATGTCCCCATTTAACATGCCAGTTTAACATTAAACTGCTTCCTGCAACACACAATCTGCCTTAGGTACGACTTTCCACCCTTTAATATGCTTGGCTGTGGTAAGATTGAGCCCCTGCAGTTTGCAAGACTTGACACTGCTTGTCATGTTTTCCATTCAGTCCACTGAAATTCAGGATTGTCAGCATCTGTCTGGAGAACACCCCCTCCAGCTCAACTCCACTCCTTCACTTCAACACAACTTGGCAGACTTGCAGCAGTATAACAAATGTGAACTTAAATACCAGGAAAGCATCAATAATAATAATGAGCAGTTTAAAGTCAATATTCCAGAAATGTAGCTTGCACACCAAGTACCATTTCCTCTACCCAAGAATTTGCAAATATAAATAAAAGTTATATATTATGGTACATGTATCTTTTCCAGTGAAAGGACTGATACAACACATCTTCATCCCTGAATGCTGACTGAAGCTGATTTTATCTTTCATCTTTTTATCTTTGTGGGAAAGACTTTTACAATGAATTTCTGATTAAAAATCTTGAGGATGTGCAGTACTTTCACATTTCCTTGTTAATATACTAAGTGCTTGAATAATGCACAGCCCCCAGACCACACAGCCTCTCCCGCTGTCATTTAAAGACCCATAAATCATTTCTAAGTTGTGGATGTCTTTAAGTGCCATCTTTCGATCAGCCCTGTGACAATGATCAGTCTAAATGGTCTTGCTAAGGGCTTAAAATAGGAGACTATAAAAAACAGAAGCGTCAAAGCCATATGTTTGGCCCGAAATGAGCCAACTGATAAATATAACCAGTCCAGCTTTTATGTGGCAGTCAGCAAGCACCGGCTACAGCGCTGAATTGTCTCCACGGTCGGTCTTCCAGGGGCAAACCGGTGCTATCAGCCCGTGCAGCAGTGCGGGAATTTCACCATTTGCGTTCTCACCGGAGTCACGCGAAGGACGGCATACAACACGCGGAGCCCACAGGGGACAGAAGGGCCCGGCATCAGCCCGGGTTCGCGATCACCCCGGCCCGCTCATGCCCGGCCCCGGCCGCCCCTGGTGCCGGCGGCTCAGGCCCGCGGGATGAGGCCGTGCCAGCCGAGGCCGCCGCGGCTCCCCCTCCGCCCGGAGGCGGCCGTGGGGCCCAGGGGAGCGGGAGGCGGGGCCGGGCCCCAGACAAGCCAA